AGCTCCACCAAGCCCAATTACATACGAACATTACGTGGTCGCCGCTTGTGATCAATAGTTACGCAGCTAGTAAGCTTTTTTCTCGCATTACATGAGCTGTAACGCGTTTCTAAAGCTTCCGAAATGCACTTTCGAATTGCACTCTTACTCGGTTACGTGCTAACAACAACAGCTACACGTGTCATGTTGCGGCTGAAGTAGGCGCACTCGAACCTCGTGGCTTGCTCGGCTGATAAGCAGCTTCGAAGGACGCGCAATGGCACCGCTGACAGCTTATCTTGTTTGGAATTTTTATTTATATTCTTCTTTTTGTTGGTAAACATTTAGGTCTATAAGCTTAATGGTCTCTTTGTATGTGGTTTATTTTGCTCGATACTTTCGTAGCGCATTTGAAAATGCCACATATGTATGTATGTATTTTAAAAAAGTGTTCTTAATTAGAATTATTTGCTTTAGATTTCTAACGTTTACCTTCACTTGTGCGCCAGCTTAGTTTTTCATAGGTGCCGGCTGTGCGTTACACCCGACGCACTGCATCTCTCAAGGCGCTCCGTAGCTAGTGGTCTACGTGCCAACTTGCGCATACATCGTGTTTATTTTTTGTTGCTTATGTTGTTTTGCTTGGTTCCTTCGTTCGATTTTACAACAATATTTCCATGTTATACCTTCATACTTATGTGTATCCGCTTTCCCCAGTCACCATTGTTGTTTTTCCGTCTTACTTGTTTTTGTCTCGCTTTTCTGTTTACAGCTGTTTGTTTTTGGCTTATATTTCGTTATGCGCGCGCGCCGGGTGGTTGCTCAATCACCAGATATATGTGTATGTATGCAGTTGTAGTCATCAGCAACCACCAGGCCATTCGACTCGAATTCAGGTAGGTTTTGAAGTCTGTCGCTCCGAGTCTCCAAACATTTCTCATCTTATGGTGAAGTAGCACAAACAAATCTTGAACTCCAACTCTACACGGTTTATACACATACAGTTCTCGTCAAACATCAATTTTTTCGAAGTCATTTTCTCTGGTGACTCGTCGGATGACTTCATTTTGTACATATAAGCGACTGCAGTAACTTTTTTTTGTACTGCACCAAATGAACATAAATCATTCTCGAACTTTCTGAGATTTGCATGGTATCTATAAGTATTTTCGATTGGTAAACTTCTCCAAAATTAATTTCCATTCAAACAGCTTGGTTGGCGGCTTAAACATAGACCTTTTTATAGTTATGGGTCCAATCTTTCTTGAAAACCATTAGAAAACATTGTTGTACAGCACTCAATCGACAAAGCAAGCTGTTTTAATTTATTTCCATCTGAATTCTCCAGTCTGTGTTCGAAAAATGTTCATTATTTCTGGGTCCGCTGGTAACAGATAATTTGGGTGCCACGTGTACACATTTGTTTTGTTTGATTTCCAGAGGAGCATTACGTGGCATGAGCAAATTTCGTTTATGGAGTTCCTTACAGCTTTTCCGACCTGAATTTACCTAAAATGCTCTTCGGGTCAACTAGAGGGCAATCCAAATGACAGAAATATTTTTTATGATTAACATTCCAGAATTCTGTTGGTGTACAAATTGTCATGGTGGAATAATATAAATAAGGAAAAATAAATTGGGATCTCTTCCGATCACATGTACTACGTTGTTGTTGACGTTTCCTCAAACGATTTTAAGGAATACTGCTGTGTAACGTGAAAACGTGTTACCTGGACCATATTGTCGTGGTAATGAGCAATTTCAGACTGATATTATTTACAATAGAAGTAGCGAAATCAGTTGAAAATTGGAAAAATGTTTCCTATGGCAAACGTCAATATAGGCTACGATGTTGGATATTGATGGTTTTCATTAGGTGTCAACAAAACACCAAATCTATAAGGTTCTGTTTAATCATCTCTCACGATAGTGGTCTGATAGGAGAAATATCTTAACCCAAAACTTGAAATAAAAATTGTTTAACTTTTAACTAAACACACCTTATTAATTGTCTCTGTTTGCATCACAATAATTGTTTATATTTTGTTCAAAATCTGAAATATCTGAATTTGCTTAACCTATAAGTTCGGAGTCCTTCGCTTAACAAAAGACTTATCAGGGAACCCCGTAAGCGCTGGTGGGGGAAAGCTAAATAAATATTTGTTTTATCAGGCAACTTGCACATATCCGCTTTCCCCTCCGCACTACACACTTGGCCTACGTGAGTTGTTCTGGAAAACAAAAATACTACAAACGTATTTATCGTTCCAAGTGGAGCTGACGTTATTATAGTTGTTGTTGTTGTGGCCCTGCACATGCACTGTCAGCATGCACCCGTCCAGCAGCAGCAGCAATGCGAAGTCAGGCAGGCAGCCAACTGTTTAGTCACCAAATAACTTACCTATATAAATATGTATGTATGTGTGTGCATTGTTTTGCTGTTTGTTGTTTTATTGCTGCCATCGCTGTTTTGTGTGGTTGTTTGCTTGCTCTTCTGTACACGCTTTGTTGGGCTATCGCTCGTCGCTCACGTAGACGCCGTTGGTGAAGTCGTTTTCAGCGATCGCGCGACTCGCCTACAAGTCAGAACTTCTTCAACCATTGAACAAGTCAGACGTCTCTTTAGAGAAATCCAAAAAATTTTAAATCTAAAAATATCTGAAAAGTGCAAAACTCTTTTCCTCAACATCTAAAGTGAACTTTGATTTGAATGAAATTTATAATTATTTAATTAGTGAGAGACACACAAACATAAAGCAGAAACTTTGTCACATCCTTGTGAGGATTCTGCAGTGAAATCATAAAAGTGCTCAAATCACATAAACTGTTAAACTTATTGCACTCTAGCGCTACTCTGGTAATTAGATAGCAGTGTTTAAAGAACAAACAGAAAAAATAAAAAAGTGATATTTATTGCTATATGCCATCGTTATTAAAAATTGATAGCAGACTGTGAACTGAAAACTCGAAAGCACAAGAAAAGCTATAAAATACTATATCTGTACTGTTATTGAGGTGCCAAGTTCCAAATTACAACAAAAAAATACAGTGAATATAAAATTTTAAGTGCTTTTGAAGAAAAACTGCGACTTTTGCATAAATCAATAGCGAGTCGGTAGCGGAAAGAAGCAGCGCAAAACAAACTCATATAGAAGAGGTAAATTTCAATATGAATGTCGTGGAACCAACACCAAAATAGTGCGATATTCAAAAACATACCGACATATGTATACTCAAAAAGCTTAAGGGGTTGACAAATATAGCAAGAAGATTTTAATTTTTATTCTAAATACTAAATCATATACCTAACTAATTTTTTAAGAAAATTAAAATATTTCCTAAAAAGTTTTGCTTCGCTACAAATAAAGCTTAAAAGTTTAAATTGACTTATGCCATTTGACAACAATTTCACTGGAAATAAATCTTAATTAATTTCACTTGAGACCACGCATCTTTGTTATACTTATTTTTAGTTTTATGCAGTATGCTTTAACATGCTTTCCTCAATTGAAATTACGTCAATGCGGCAAATCGAAGTTCTTTCTTCGTGTCTTGCATACGCACCAACTTCGTTTGGCTGCGGCATCTATTTGTCCAAGTCCGAGTACTTTTCCAGCAGAAAATTTGTAAAAATCATATCGAATATAAGTAAACACTTGCCTACATACATATATAATATTTATGTGGTGTGGTACATCATAGCATTTTCTACACATATTGAGGTTATGTCAGCTGCCTACATACCGAATATTGGGCGTTCGTTTCTCATTTGCTGGTTTCATAGCATTTCTGCGCATTATCTTGGAGCAGAGAGTCCCAATACATAAATACATACATATACTTTGTAGTTTAAAATGTAATTCTTTTGCTCTTTGCTCCCGTAGTTGTAGTGTGGTAAGAGCCGGGCGTAGGCAAAACTTTATGTTACAGCATAGAGGGGGTTTGATTGGGTTGGAAAAGCAATTTTTAGAAAATGTGCCTGCTCTGTAAATCGCACCTTTTGCTTCTGTAAGAGTAGTGTGACTGAGCGAGAAGCATATATGCTATGTAGAAAATGAAGAATTGAAGTGACGATGTTTCAAAAGGCACGTAAACACATTTTTTACGAATTATCCATGTTAATATAATAATATTTTGAATTATATGTTTTGCTTCAACGGTAATCAAATGATGTCAGAACAAATTTGGCTCTAAATTGTTGCTCAATTAAGCACAGTCCTCAAAAATTAAGGAGGGTTATTGAAATAATTGAAAAAAAAAGTTAAATTGAATTATAAATTAATGTATAGATAGGCGTTTTTAGAATATAAATTAAATATATGTATAAAATCATGCAAACTAGAATTTACAAAATAACGATAAAATAATAAAATTGTTATATATAACAATTAGCTAAAATGTTTTATTTAAGCAAAAACGTAAAAACTGGAAGAAATAATAAAATAAAAATAAAAAAAAAGATATTAAAAACAATAATAAAAAAAATGATAAAAATAAATTAAAAACAAAATAATTAAAATAAATAATATAACAAAAATATTAATGAAAAAATTTTTAAAATGTAACGAAATAAGAAATAAAATAAAATCAAGCAAAACAAATTAAATATCGGTATGTTATTTTCTGACATCAATATTAATAATTGAAGCCAATAAAAGCTGGCAACAATTGATGTAAATTAATCAAGTTAATTTAATCTTCTTAGCTAATACTTACGTAAAAGTATGCCCCTCAATTTATTTGTTTTATATGTACAAATAAGTACTTAAAAATATTTACATTATTCAACAACTCCTAACTACTATTACTACATAAAATGCAAACGAAAATCCTGTCAACCGCTTTTCGACAATACTGGTTTGTCACATTTTCTCTCTGCTTTTTTCTTATTACTATTTTCATTTAATTACCATTTGAATATACTGGATATAAAAACAAAATTGAAAATGTTTAAAGAGAATTTTGGCAAACGTAAAAATCTAACCGCGTTTTTATCAACGTATTTCCCCTGTTTCTTTCAGATATCAAAACAATCTTCCAGCCCCAAAACGACCGGTTCGTCGCCATTAGAAAACAAGCGTGTTTTACAACCTAAACAACAGCAGCCGCAGCAAACGCAGCAACAACCCCAAAAAGTTGCCAACAATTCAGAGACTGCTCCGGCGCATACTAATCCAGTTGTTGATAGCAATAAAAGCAACAATCCAAACACCGACAGCAGTAAGGCAGCAACCACTCAAGACGAGGTAAACACAACAACAGCGTCAAGCTCAACAGCAGCAGCCCCGGCGGCAGCAGCAGCAGCAACAACAACTATTGGTGAGTGTGTGTAAAGTGCAGTTGTTATATTTTTATATAATATTTTTGTACCATCTTTTTTTTTTGTTACACAAAAGTGTTGAGTTGGAAATGTGTTTTTGTGTTGGTGTGGTAGCGGCCAGAATGTTTTCGAAGCGAACCCAATACGAAGCTGGAGCCGATGAGGAGTGGCGTGTTTTGAACTGCTTCTCCTCTTTTTAAATTCTTTATTCGTTTTTTCACTACTTTTCATTTTTAGCCACGTTTTTATGCACCTTATTTTATCGTGCTGCTATAACAACAAAAGCAAACTAATTTTTTTTTATTCCTCGTGTTTCCTTTCACCATTTTCGGCTTTATATTGCGTTTTAATAAATTCGCATTTGTGTGGTCAACCTGCTTTGGAACTACGGACTTTTCGTTGGCATATGTTATTATTATATTCGTCGATGTTTTTAGTATACTTTTCTTTATTTTTTTTAACACATACATACATATATGTATATGTATGCAATAGTTTTGTCTAATCAAATTTAGTTCTTTGCTTTTTAGATAAATAGTTAACCATTTCAAAATTAATCACGTAGCGAATTTGTCTATCGCGAAAACCAGATGTTAGAAAATGTGAAAAAGAAGTATGAACAGCCTACGGCTATGTTTACATTAGATATGTTAGATATTTTCATTTGTGAGGTTATGTAAGCTAAGCACATTGTTTATAAGTAGTTGAAGATTTATAAAATTTAGTTTTCTTAACTGACTTTGATATCATACCACTATTGCAAGTACACCTTTAATCTCTAAATTATCTGTAAAAATCCCTAAAGACTTATCTCAGTTAAATGGAGAGATTAAATATTTGTTATTCGTTATAATTTATAACTCTATAAACTTTTACCAACACGAATACATTTTGACAATTAAACTCAACCTACCCTCAAAATATCTGCTTCGAAAACGCTTTCGTTTGCTTTTCTATTTTATCGACGACATTTGCTATAATTGTATTATTTATAAAAAAAATTATATTAACTTTCCACTTTTTGCTCTCATTTGCAGTTGTGCCCCCAACAGACGTAGCACCGACTACGATTGTGAATAAAGGCAAGAAAGTCAATCAAAAGGTAGGTCACAAACATAATTCTCTCTACCACCTTGCATAACCTCAAAAATTACAATAAATTTACACTCGTCAATTCTCTTCAACTCTCACTCATGCAGGCAAGCGATTTTACCAATGCTGGCGATTGGCCTATGCTAATAGGTGGCAAGCCCACGAATAACGAATCTAAACGTTCCACGAAACAAAAGCAGCGTTCTGCAAACGCAACAAATAACAACAATAAAGAGGATAACGCTAGCACAGGTGCAGCAGCAACAGTAGCAGCAGCAGCAGCACAAAGCAACGCTGATCAAGCAGCAGCAACAACAAGCAGTAGTGCCACAGCAGGCGATAAAGCTACAACAACAAGTCAAACACCAAATGAGTCCATTAAGTCTAGCACGCAATCAGGCAACGGTGAAGGCAGCAGTGGATCTACTGCCACAAATGCCACAGCAGCAGTCAACACAAGCTCAGGATCAAATGGCATCAATAAGAAGATTCCCAAACATAAGTGGCGACCTCTGCAAATCGACCTTGCAAAATCCAGCCGCCCGAAACCGATTGGACGCCCCACTAGACGTTTACCAAACACTTCGTCTCGCTATTACCAGCAGCAACATCAGTACCACAATCAAGAGCAACGCACCAGTGGCGGTGATCACAACAATGTCGGAGGCGCAACAGAACAACAACAGCGCAGCGATTGGCGTCAACATGCACCGCCAAGTGCCGGTAGCGGCGAGCGCCCAGCGCGGCCCACTTCCCGCCCTACTGAGCGCATTGATTCCTGGCGTAGCGGCAGCGGCACCGAGCGCAGTAGTGCCGTCGCAGAACGTGACTACGAGCGGCCAGCGCGCTCGCAACGGCGCTTCCGGACGTCCTATCGCGGCGGGCGGCAAGGGCGCGGTGGATTCTCAAGACCGGGACCAGGTCGTACGTCAAATCGCATACCACGCCATCTGTTAACCAGTGGCGAATACGCAAGCTATTTGCCGGCGGATGCAGCCGGTGTCGAACAGTCCTCGTTTGTGCTCATGGGCACGCACTATTACGGCTCAGTGCCGGCGGCCTATATTGAAATGGACGCACAAGCGGTTAAGGATGCGATCAAGAAACAAGTGTAAGTATTTCTTAAGCCACAATGTAATTTATAAAATTGAATGTGAAATACAATAGAAATTAACTTTGACATTAATTATCTTCTCCAACGTTCTACTTGCAGTGAATACTACTTCAGCGAAGAGAATTTAACTGGCGATTTCTTTCTGCGTCGTAAAATGGACCCAGAAGGTTGTATTCCAGTCACATTGATTGCTTCTTTTCATCGCGTCTTAGCCCTGACTACCGACGTGGCTTTGCTCATTAACGCCATCAAGGAGTCCGAGAAGCTGGAGTTTCTCGAAGGCTACAAAGTACGCACAAAGACAAATCCCACAATATGGCCTATTCGCGACGTGATCGAGACTGCATTTAATCCAGCCGCTCAAGTGGCTGTTTCAAATGCGGCAGTGAACACAGCAGTTGGCCAAACACTAGAAAGTGTAAATAATGATATACAAAAGACTAATCAATCAGCGAATGCTACAGCCAGCGTTGGCAGCGTTAACAGTATTGCGCCCGGCAGTGGTGGCGATGATGTTAGCGTTGCGGCCACACAAACTGTAGCTGATGACAATAAGAATGCAGCAACTCCCATTGTGGCTGCCACGCCTACGGCAACGCCCACTAGTGGTGTGGCGTACCCCAGCGAAGTGCCCTTACCGCCCATACTTACCTCAGCTATGGCAACGAAACCATTGACTAGCATCCCGCCACCGCCAGTGCCACGCAACTCTCAAAATTTGGTCTCCTCGCTGTTGTTGCAGCAGGTGAAGCAAATGCCGACGCCAGCTGTGAATGCGGAGAATGCCATAAGCGCGCTCACACAAAAGGTGGCTGAGGTGGAAACTGGCAGTGGTGCTGTGGCTCAGTTGGCCGATCACTTAAGTGGTTTGGCCGAATGCGTGAAGATGCCAACACCACCTACACAAACGCAATTGACGTCGACGCCACAGAAAGTGCAACAGGGTGGCGGTAAGAGGAGAGAGGAGCAAGGCGCACCGAAAGACAACACTGGAAACACAGCGGCGGAGGTTGTCGACGAGACGGCGGGCGATGCCTCTGAGGGCATGTGGAAAGAGGTAAAGAGACGCTCAAAATCAAATGCTTTAAAAGATACTAAATCTCCCAATCAACAACACTCCACACAATCGCTATCCACACAAAAACAACTACAACAAAACATTAAAACATCCAACACAAATGCTACCTCTGTAACGAAATCATCATCGATCACGCCAAACAACAATAACAATAATAATGTAAACAAAATCGATACAAAAACAAACACGGCAACAAACACATTGATCACTTCGAACGCCTCCTCCGCCACATCGAATGCCAAAAATGCAATTAACACCAACAACACTACGAACGCCACTACCACAACCACCATTATCAACAACAAAACAGCTTCTCCGCCAACCCCTCAATCAGCAGCAGCTTCAGTTGGCGCCACCACAAATGCCACTGAAAAGGAAGAACTAGATTTTCAATTCGACGAAGAGCTTATGGATCCCATCCCAGCATCTGGACGTATAAATAATTTCACCGAAAATTTCTCTGATGACGACGAATCCGACTACGAATTTGCTGATCGCGACATCAATAAACTGCTGATTGTGGCACAAGTACAACGTGCACCGAAACACGAAGGCTACGATCGCACTGCCGACTACCATTCACGCACGAAAATTACACAAGATCTCGAGAATGTTATAAACGATGGTTTAGCCAATTACGAAGAAGATCTCTGGACCACATCGAATGTGGGCACAGCTTATCGCACGGTAAATGTAATATCACAAGAAGATTTTGAAAAAATGAGTGGTGGTCGCGGACAACGCATCTACGCACAACAGGCACCGCCACCACCGCCGCCAGCCTATGAGGATGAGGACTCCACACTGAATAGTACGCTCAATTCAACATTGAAATCACGTCGTGCACGCTTCTATGCCGCGCCCAGTTCACATTCAATCGATCCGCGTACACCACGCAAACGTAAAACCCGCCATTCATCGAATCCACCAGTGGAGGCGCATGTCGGTTGGTTGCTCGACTCGGTCGAGCATCGTCCACGTACCACCTCAATGGGTTCGTCGGCGGGCACTTCACCAACGACCTCATCCTATGGTTCATCTGTGCCACAATCATTGCCGGTCTTCCAACATCCCTCGCACTCGTTGCTAAAGGAAAACAATTTCACACAACAAGCTTACCACAAATATCATTCACGTTGCCTGAAGGAGCGCCGTCGTCTAGGCTATGGCCAATCACAGGAAATGAACACACTGTATCGTTTCTGGTCATTCTTTTTACGTGAAAATTTCAACAAAACAATGTACAATGAATTCCGCGCTTTGGCGCTGGACGATGCCAGCCACGGTTTCCGCTATGGATTAGAGTGTCTCTTCCGTTTCTTTTCGTACGGTTTAGAGAAGAAATTCCGACCAAATGTCTATGAGGACTTCCAGGACGAGACAATCGCCGACTATGAAATTGGTGAGTAATGAGAGCCACGAAAATATTAAAAAAGTCGCTATTGGCTTTTCAGACAGCGGTTTAATTAAGTGAATTAGCTAACTGCCTCAATTAAGGCGCTGTTTGAACAACTAATAACCATATTAGTTGATAGAATTATTTTTTTGGTTTTGCAATACTAACTATTCCCACATTTTTCCCCTGTAGGTCAACTCTATGGTCTAGAGAAATTCTGGGCTTTCCTCAAATACTACAAAAACGCTGATAAACTTACGGTGAAGCCAAAATTGGCAGAATATTTGAAAAAATTCAAAACTATCGAAGACTTCCGTGTCGTCGAGCCCGAAATCAATGAAATGCTGCAAGGTGTTGGCAGTCTTGGTCGTGGTCGTAACCTGAACCGGTTACGCAGCGTCTCCGAGAGTGATGGCACAACGGTAGTCGGCGTCGGTGGACGCAAACCGAACACCACAATCAGCAATCGCAGCGACTATGTCGGTAATCGGCCACAATATCAGCAACAACACCAACAGCAGCAACAACAACACAATAATCAACCGGCCGGCAATTATGCCAACTTCAGCAGCAACCGACGCCGCACCGGCTCCTTCGGCAGTGGTAATGTGCGCGTACGCAGCGGCTCGTTAGGAAACAAGCCGCAAGTGGTGTCACGCAATAACAATTACCATCATCATCATTACGGCAGTTCACCACACGAGCTGCGTCGTGGCGGCAGCAATTCCGGTCTGGCACCGCACAAACAGCAAAACCGCCAACAACAGCAACAGCATCAGCAGCAACAACACCAGCAACAGGCGCAAAAGTCTAAACAACAACAAGTACAAAACAAGGATTCCAATAATGCGCCGGGCGCAAACACAACAGCGACGAAGAAAGAAACTCATCAAAACTATGCGGCGGCGGCGGCAGCCAAATCAAATAAATCGATAGTCAACAATAATACAGCAACAAAAGTCATTGCGCCAGCCGCAACGGCAAGCGTAGCGTCGGGGATGAATGCAACGTCAGCGGAGAAATAATTCTTTATTAGCATGGTTTTCCTTGAATACAAAAACAAAAAAAAACACACACACACACTTATTTGCTACTGATAGTTTATCTTATTTTATTCTTTATTATTATAATTATTACTATTTTTTTGCATAACGTATGTATTTTCTTCTAGTTTTTGAGTATTTTCATGACTGCAAGCGACACACACACATATTAAATTAGTACAGAAGACGCATAACGGCAAACTAATATGTAGACACCGGAATAAATAATGCAAGTGAATGCAACAAGTTCAAATGATAGCGAAATATCAAGTCAAATCAAATTATAACAAATAAAAGTAGTAAACCCTTAGCAAGACGGTTGCGCAAAAAATTGGCTTTTGCTCTCTGGCATTCTTAATAAATACAAATACAAGCAAGGCCAAGTTGGAGTGCAACGTTTAAAGAGAAATCACGTTAAAACCTATTACATATACCTGAATTTTGTTTTTGTTTTTCTTTACTTTTTAACTTAATTTATGAAACAAATTATGAAGATGCTCAAAATTCTGCTAAAATTTATGGAAAAACCCACACATTATATATATATATACTATTACAACTATATTGTCATGCATGTTACTATTAATTGTAAATCTAATTTCATAGACGTTCAAAGCGTCGCTTTACGACTATACATATATATATACAATATATATATATATATATAAATCAACCGAACATATAACGTTAAAGAAATATATTTGCTAAAGTGACTTTTGTAAAAATGCGAAAAAAGCGAAAACAAACAAATATGCATTGATATTTTCAAATTAAAAAAAGGCAAACAAAGGGAATGAGGTTGAAACCAGAATATATATTCATAAATACTTCCATAAGTGAATGGTTGAGAGGAGTAGTGAGTAGGTTTAAATGCAACGGTTGTAACGAGCAAATCTTTAGCTCAACAGATGTTCACCAAAACACAACGAATACGAAGCAAACGAGGTATACACCCACAAATACATACAAACATATATAGGCAACATTAAACCGTTGCGCTAAGCCAATGGGGTAACTATTGAGCAATAATGCATTGTTGATGAATAACATTAAGAATTACTACTGCAAGAGGAGTTGGAGAAAATGCAATCAATTTCACGTAAATATAAATAGGATATACTATATATACATATATTATGTGCTGGACTACAACTTTTGGGTAAACACATTTTTTTAAGTAAAAGTAGATGCAAGTAAAGAGCGTAGCAAGCAGCGGACACAGTGCAGCCAATTGTGTGTGTGTGTGTGGACAGTGCCAACGAAATTAGTTAGCTGCAACGGTAAATTAGTTAAAAGTATAAAAAAAATACGCGTGGAAGGCACACAAAGCACTGCTGCACTGTGTTACATAGCGGAAATTAATAGAAATTTTTTTTAGAAAGGGAATCGCTTATATATGAAGTAGTAGGGAATTAGAAAAAAAAGTGAACGTGCAGAAGGCAAATAGCTAAGTTAATGAACAAAAAATGCATATTATGCAAAAATATTTATGCTAAGTAATTTGAAAAAAAAATGAAGTTATTTAAAAAATACAACTACAAAAATTATGTAAATTAATGCAAAATATGACAAAGCCAGACATAACAAATGTATACAAGCATTGCTAAGCCAATGAAATTTATATATTTATATTATATAATTATATGTTATTTAGTAAGCGCTTTATGACGTTGACAACTTTCAAACAAAAAACACTATAACTAACCATATATTAATATGTATATGTAAATAACAGTTATATATATAGATTGATACTTGATATTAAATGCAGAGCGCAGTAACCGAAAAAATAACAATAAATTTGTATGGTAAATTAACATAAATTTATAAAAGATTAAAATATTGTAAGCGTTTAAACGCAATAACTATGTACACACTTGATTAAAGCTGCAAAAACAACTAGCTAAACTTAAAGCAAGACAGCTGTAGAGTCATAAGCATTTAAACAAGAAAAATAGTATAACAATAACAACAAAAAGTGACTGCGCTTAAGATGCAACATGTAAAAAAGCTTTCAAACTTGTTGCAACTGCAGAATGTCGCAGCTCTAAAATGTTGCAACTGCGAAATGTTGCAACTGTAGAAGGTTAAAACTTCGAAATGTTGTCACTGCACTCAAAAAGCAGCAACATATTTCCTATGCGTTGAAAAAAAATTAGAAATAACAGCAACAAGCTCTTCAATATTGATATTGAGTGTAATGCATAAGTTACCAGTAACCAGTAAAGTAATGTTAGTGTACTCATCAATGCAACAAATTGCAGAAGTCCGTACGATTATGTTATGAATTTTCCGTTATAATTTTTTGTAAACTATGCACATGTTGCCACATGCCACATTTATATATGTACATTGACACAAACACCTACACTGCCGCCTACTACTACACAGTGTATGCCCCGACAATAGCATTTTCACAGACACACACACACACACCTCAAAATCACTATATTGAAACTCATAGAAATTACAAAATAACAAAGTATGTTGCAAATATCGCTCAATACGCAAATTCCAAATGTAATGTGGGTAGCTGTTGCCGTAATTGTGCAAGAAAATCCACACATTATTGCAATTAAATTAACTTGTCTATAACATTCATTCTGCCCGCCATACAACGGTTGAGCATCTTTTTTTTTCGATGTGTTTGTTTTTTTTTCAAATGATTTCATAATTAACTCTTTTTTTTTTATTAATTAGTTGTGTAAGCGATTTCAAACTATATACCTATATATGTTAACTAATGTTAAGTTTTCATTTGGTTTTTGATTACACTTTGAATTAACGAATAAATATTTAAAAAAAAATAAGTAATTAAAAAATACAAAATATTAAATTAAAAAAAAAAATTATATAAATAAATAAAAATTTGATAGCGTTTTTATGCGCTAAAACCTAAAAAAAAATACTGAATTTAAATATTAATAATTTTATTAAATAAAACGCTGAAATAACTAAATGCAACTTTGCAACAAGCCGTTACATGTAGCCAAACAAAATTACGAAAATTAATTAAATCAATAAACCGTCATGAGCTGAGAATATGTAGTTTACTAAACGATAACTAATTAATCAAGTAAAGAATATAATTGAAAATAAATATATACTTTTTTTTATATATGTTTAAGTGCAAAAACAAAACAATGCAAAAAAAAAAAAAAAGCAAGAGTTAAACTAATGAAGCAAGTAACAAAAAGTCTAAACACATACATACATATACAAAAATATAAATATATACTTATATAGAGACTTTTTACCAAAACGAATTAACTATATAACAAAAACTGAAACTGAGAAAATGTATAATTATTTGAAACAAAGAAGCAATCGTTTTTCGTTAAACAAAAAAAAAAAAAAAAAACAAATGAAAATGGCATAATTTATTATAGTTTGCAACAAACCAACAAATATTTGCAATACGTTTGTAATTAACGAAAAATCACTTTTTGTGTACATATACATGTATACAACAACAAGTTTAGCGTTGTAATTTGAATATTATCGTTTTTTTTTAAATACATATGTATACTTAAATTATAACAATTTTTAATGCGTTTTTTAGAGTAATTTTATTTTATTTTTTGGCTATAAATTTATATATAAATATTTTGCTCTTGTAAATAAATTAACGGGAGCGTGCGTAGAAATGAAGTGAAAAAGATATTAACCTATTATTGCTGTAATTTGTGTATAAAAACACAAGAAAAATTAAAAAAAAAAAATATTAAAAAAAAATCTTTAAAAATGTCAGACCTACACAAAATTATCAAAATATCAACAAACACGGAAAAAATATGCGAATATATAAAATAATACAAATGAAATAAAAAAACAGCCAATACTGCCGCACAGCACGGCCGCTGTGTTGGTCTAGTTGTGGTGACGCGCAGCATTTGGTGCCTCGGCTTATGGCTGCCCGCTGCCACGCCCACCCACACAGCAGGCTACATGTGCGACATAAATTATATATAGCATTAATATAAAAGAAAACGCACATATTTGTACACACCCAACAGCAGGTACCGTTTGATTTCCCAAAAATATGGCGAAAATATCGAAAACAAAAGTTATTTAAACCAAAAAGTTGGAAATATAATTAAATGAAAAGCTTAAAACACACACAACCTAACTGACGGTTAGATTTTGTTGTAGAGTTTTTTTCTATGTATACATATTTAAATATATATTTTGCTTCCTTAGTTACATACACATACATTTTTCTTTAAATGTTTAATACACACTTTTTATTCCTATTGCGTTTAAATGGAAACTTATATAACTTCATATATATATATATATATAGTAGATAAACATATATATATATTTTTTAATATTATTGTATGTAAGTTTACCTAAAAGTGATAGTTCTAATTATAAATTAATTTAAACGAAGAAAAAAATAAAAAACCAAACAAATACAAATTCTTATAAAGGCTTAATTCAGTAAAAAAAATTAAACTAACTTAAAAAAAACTACACAAAAAAATGTTAAAAACTTAAAAGTGTAAAAAAACGTAAAAAAACCTATAAAAATGCAATAAAAACATGAAAAACTCAAAACTCAGTTGTTTTATTTAACATGATGCTTTCTATTCTATTTCAGCACTCAAGATTTCCATATATTCTACAAATTGTTATTGGTTTTAGCCTTGCGATTTGGTAGGAAGGGGAAGGAGCAGGGAAAAAGTAAATTTTAACGGCATGCGGATCTACGTAACCGAATTTATATCTGACTGTCCTTGCTCAACTCAGCTTTTTCCCAATTGATTTGAGAATTAAACTCTGCCCCTAAAATGTCTTCTTTAGATTATTCAATAAATTTATACATACATATGTACAATACATACCTTCCGAAAAGATACTGAACAAACACTCTTGAACAGTGTATATTAAGTTGGCCACAGTGTTTGTAACAGCAAAAAGGAAACGTCGTAGACCCAATAAAATATGGAACTATGTATAAATGATCAGCATGACGAGGTCAGTCGATTTAGCTATGTCCGTCCATCCGTCTGTATACACGTGAACTAATCCCTCAGTTTTTAAGATATCGATCTGAATAATAGATATCGGACAACTATAGCATATAGCTGACATACCAACTGACCGTCAAACTCAAGTCCATAATATGGAAATCTCATTTATTTGTACAACCATCTTTATGAAATTTGGCAGAGTTTATTATCCTAGGCATCACTACAATCCATGAAGAAACTGTTTATATCTGACAACTATCTGATATAGCTGCCATACGACTTGAGCGATCAAATTCAAGTCCCTGTATGGAATACTTTTTTTTTTTGAGATGGTATTATATTTTCACGAAATGTGGTAAAGATTATTGGTTGATAGCTGACATACAAACTAACCGATCAAAATCGTCTCGTAAGGAAAACTTGTGAAGGGCATTATAGCTTCGGCGCAGTTAAAGTGAGCGTTTTTTCTTGTTTCTTTTTGTTAATACTTATGTTTTGCTACTTCTAAATTTTATACCTACATACATATATGTATGTATCAGATTATTCAACAGTTATTGTTTTGAATCTGGTTCAATTTGTGAAGCGAGGATACGCCAGATGCGCTAAGACACAGAGATGATCTCACCCCTACTCTGTTACCACCAGCTGGTATTGTATCGAATACTGTCCGAGGTGCAGACTCAGAATTCATGCCTACGTCACATAATCTTAATAAAATATAAAGCCTCGTTTAGTATCAAACGTTTGGAGAGGCTCATGGAGTTCATCAATGTGCTGCGGCTAGGTGTGTCGTTGGGACTTAGGGGAGGGCACAATAGACCATAGGTCGCGGTGCATACCTCTATTCAATCTATCTATCTATGAGAGACTCTCCGATATTCAGATTGAAGTGGTGTTGCCTGATTTTTCCATAAAGGTCTTTCAACAAAATTTTTATGAAACATGCTTGTTTACAACTGCCTCTTTAAGCCTCTTGTTTTGTGAGCGCGAATTTCGTCAAATCGTTGTATTACAAGTATCTATTGCGTAAGATTTATCAGATGAAGGATGATCAGGCCTTTACCCCGTTTGATAGAGAGTCTAATTTAAGTTGGCCACCATTTGTCCTTTTTTGTTTTTCTTTTGATCCTCCTTGTGGTCACGTGTAAAGCACACTGCCAAAGCTTACAATACACACAACTTAATACTTGTATAGGAAATCAAGCTTTACCTTAAAGCGTCTACCAACAGGCACGACGTGATGTTAAAATGAAATAAAACACCCAAATTTGGTCGAAAACGGTTCTGTTTTTTTTTGTCATGTGTCTAATATGTCGGCCAAATGGCCACCACGGCTCCGTTTGCACATCTACACCTGTTTACGTCGATTTTCGATGACCCAGTGCAACATTTCGGTTGGAATTTGGGCTATATTGCGCTGAATACTGTCTTCGACCTCTTCGAGCGTTGTTGGTTGTTTGGTGTAAAGCTGTTATTTAACATACCCCCAGAGAAAATAATCTAGAGGCGATAAATCGCATGTTCTTGGTGGCCATTTGTCTGGGCCATTTCTCAAAATTAACGAGTCGTCAAACTTTGTCCGCAATATGTCCACGTTTAGACGTGATACATGAGGCGGCGCACCGCCTTGTTGGAAATAGAGATCGCTCGCGTCGATTTCATCAAATTCCGAAAAAAGAAGTCGGTCAACATCGTGTTACAACGATCGCTATTAATGGTAACGGCAGGGAAACAAGATCTTTTTTATTCCACCAAATGTTCTTAGGATTCTAAAGTGTACTTAAAATAAAAAAAAGATATTTTGAAACCCCTCCACTAGCCCCCTAAATAACAAATAATAACCGTTATTGTAATTTAGCCACACTTTTAAAATCAATGAAAACGTAAGCCTTTACTGATGGAAGGTCACAAAAGCGTAACCTTTTAAAGAAAATTTTTTTAAACCTAAAATAGACAGGCATTGTATAAATATTATAATAATTGGAGATGCGGGGCATCGATCCCCGTACCTCTCACATGCTAAGCGAGCGCTCTACCATCTGAGCTACATCCCCATACATAAATTAAATTTCCATCATTATTGTTACCTTTGAAAAATACGTACATATGTATGTAGGAATTTGCTTGGACCAACTTTTGTTGACTGAATGCGAAACTGATTATTTGTGCCTGTCACGTTCGAGTTTTTTTAAAAGTCTGCTCTTAAAAAAAATACACCCACACGTACACCTGTATGTATATAACTTCATTCTGAATTGCTTAACTATATAGGTGACAAAGAAAAAAGTATCTATACTGTGTACATATACAATAGTATACATACAATAATATACATATATATATACTCATATGTATATACATCATAAGGTGATCGTTGTAAAACTAAATAAGTGAAATTTTTTACCTTTCGAGGTCTACGATAATAAAAACGTTACTGAAAGTACTTTTAGTTGTTGACGTTGTAAAAGTTATTCTTTCTTATTAGCTTGTGTTTTGCTCTTGCTTGATCCTCAGCTACGAGGGCAGTTAGATAACTTAAAAAATTCGACATAATTATCAGAAAATAAAGTTCCTTCATATGTCTGATGTTTTCAACTAATAGCGTCATCCAACTTTCTTAAAGCAAATGTAAAAATAGTAGTAGAAGATTTCGACTGTAGCATAGCCTGAATGATTAAGCAGTGAAGAGTCTTATTCAGGAAGTTTTACCATTGCGAGTTTTTTAATTAACATAAAACTGCAGATAATGTGTGTGCCTCCTTGTAAAAAGCTAATTAATTCATAGTATTATTTACAGCACTTATGGTACATATTGTCTTTATTTATAGTCCATACTTTTCTAATGAATTTTGTTGTCTGTTTTCATATCAGAATGGGTATTTTCGATAATCGATCGCCTTTATCTAACATAATGGAAGAAGACAGAGAGAAAGGGGAATACTAAACAAAGACTATTAAATTGCTGTTAAAACCGTTATCGTTAGAAAGTTAGAGTAGTTAGAGCACAGCTAAAAGCAGCAAAATGGAGCTTTTCAAATATGGTGACAAGGTGTTCAAAAATGCATGCTTTAGCTTAGCTTTTATACAGACAGTATTCTTGCGGATTGGATGTTAAATGTACTTTGCCCAATTAACAAAAAGGGAAATCCAGTTACTCCTCCGATTATTGTGCAATCATCTTCCTATGATAAATGACTATAGATAACCAACTGATTGGTCAATATAGGTATGGTTCTAGACCTCGATAAGTGATGATAGCCATCAAACGTATAGTGTTCGACTCTAAAGCAAATTTTGGTAAAAAAGGTTACTTCATGTTGCCTGCCCAGAGCAGAATTTCAGGACATTGAAAATCTGATAAGCTTGCAAGATAATTTATCTCAAGCGTTTTACAAATAGATGACTGGGTTATATCATCATCCTGTCGGTAAGGTTAAAAATCTGTGGCGCTTTCATGAGATCAAGGCAAAAAACATTTGCAATTCGAGTAACATGCGTTTCTTAAATAAGGACCAACCACGGCAGTTTTTCGGCTTCTTAAAGGACTTCTGTAGCAGTCAAGGCGTGATTCCTATCTTGGGGATCAGCCTAACCTAACATGTACGACAGTTTAAAGAATCGACGTTAATTAAGACAAGAAAAAACGTCAACTGTACCAAAGCTATAATACACTTACCAGGAGCATTTTTTACAGCATAAGAAAAAGATCTTAATCTTGATTTAGTTTCGTGAAGATACTTTGTCAAATTAAAAAATTTTCCATGGAAAGACTTGATTTTGATCGTTCAGTTGGGATGGCAGCTATATGCTATAGTGGCCCGAGTTCGCGTATATAATGGAAGAGAAGAACACTTACATATATACATACATTACTTTATAGGGTCTTCGACGTTTCCTTCTGGATGTTACACATTTCGTGACATACTAAATATACCCTGCTCAGGGTATTTATATGGAAGAGAAGAAACAGAAATGTTATTTTTGAAAATACTAGCATAATTCACATTCAAATTCCTTATTCTACAGAATATGTAAATCATAATAAGTTTATCAGATATTTAATGTACTAAGGACTTGTTTAGGACCAGGCAGTCTAAATACAATCCAAATTTAATTGATACATACTGAAGCACGCAACGTACAATTTTAGTATAATTTTGTGTACGTTTAACATTTTCGAAAGCTGACAATTATATGTAAGCCCGCCAAATAAGGCATGGTATATATAAATAAACCTTTCTTATTGACAATTACAGGGTTACCCAAAGGAATAAGTAAATTTGAAGTCTTCTAGAAAGTAACTTACGATTATTTTTTCTCAAATGTACATATGTATATATTTTCTGAATTCCTCTAACGGCATTACTCAATGTATTTGGAATATAACACTTATCCACTTTTTAACCGATTAACTCTGGTTTTCATATAATTGTTTGTTGGGCTATAAATGTTTGAAAACTGTGTTTTGTTCATTTGAAAAGCTTTCAAAGCTTCACAGTCAACAGTTTGAAAGGCAGTGTGTTGTAGAAACTTCGTGGGTACAGCTTGAGTACCACTGTATAAATTAAACTGTTTATATGAATTCAATTGAAAATATTTCTATATGCATATACTTGTACCTATGTATACATACATATGTAAATACATGTTAGATTTTTTTTACCATTTTATTTCATAACATAAAATATAAAAGTAATAAATTGTAAATAAGCAAAAAGTGTTTGCAACCAAAACGAGCTGCTGCTTACACCATACAGGCCATTGGCAGCGTAATTATCAAGACGTTGGTTTATATAATAGTACATTTTCGCAAATCCCAAACAAATCACGTATAAGAAACCGAAAATAAATTATAAATAGCCAAAGTGTGAACTGCAAATTGCAATTTAATTGAAAGAATCATTTGTTGCAACATAGGAGTGCGGCGTTTCTTAACATTAGAACTACAGTTCGTTTTTTGAACCGACATGAAAGCGTTTTTTGTTTTATTTGGCTTTTTTTGTCTCCACTGGAGCTTTGTTGTTGACGGAGCCCCTAGTATCAAGAGGCTTGAACTTGGCGATAAAGTGAGTGGTTCAATTATTTCTATAACAACATTAGCGCCAACTGTGACCTCAACGCCTTTAGCGGCAGTGGTCAACAATGCAACAGTAAACAGCACCGGCTTTAATAGCAATATCACCAGCTACAGTGATCAGAAACATAAGATACTGCTGGTTGTCCTATCGGATGTGAATGTACGGCATCTTAAGGATCCACAACAAGGTAAATTGTTGTTGCTGCTCTACATTATTATAAAAAAAAAGTATTAAAACTTTTAAAAATGCTTTTACTATAGGCCAATCCCGAACTATTTCCAATAATGCGGATAATAATTCTTTAAATGAGACATTAAAGATTGATGCAACGATGCTCAAGGAAATTTTGAAAAGTAAGTGTTTCACATTTTAGAAAAGGTTTGAAAGTGCATTTCTCCAAAATCCCAACAGATCTCCAACCCACGAAAAAGTGTGTAAATATTTTGCCACAATTTGTGCAGCCTACATTTCCATGGCTCATACGGAAGGAGCAACGTAAGCCGATTACTTATATTGAACCGGTTTTATGCGAGGACATAGAAGACGAACGTGTAGTTTTAATGGAAAGTTCAATTTTACCACAAAACCAAAAGAGGCAACCTATCGCACCAGTTAAAACAAAGGTGGGGTACTCACAAACGCGTTCGTCAAAAAACACACGAAAGCGTCAACGATCGAAGCTGAGAACAGGTTCGGCTAAAAAATCTCGGCAGTTGCCATATTCGTTGAACAATTTTCGTGACTTAGACTATGAGCATGATTCTGAATTTGATAATGATTGGACAAATTTTAGCTCCGAAGAGAATTAATTGATAAAAGTTGTATAATATTCATTCTAATCAAATTTAAATGGTTAAAATATTACATAATTGATTTTAATAATATTAAATACCATAAATATAAATTAATTATAAGCTGAAAATATGTCCCATTGTTTTATGTGTGTTCGTCACTGAAATAAATGAACTATGAGTCAACATACATCTTGGCTCTCATGGACTTGTAAAATCAAATTCTGGAGTGATTAAATTATCAGACAATTTAAACTCGTTATTTAATAGTTTTCTCATTGAAAGAAAAGTCAAAGATATTCGGATTTTATGTTGTTTACTTATATAGAAGTATACAAATCTTATACAGGATTTTTATAACTTCATATACTAAATGATATAAGATATCCCATGCAAAAACTTCCGGGAAAATTCTTTTAAATTTTTAATAATATTTTTGACAGGTTGACCGGTAAAAAGTGCGCAATAGGTGCTGGAATCCCTATATTCCGACTTGTACAATTAATCTTAATCATAAGGTGGCACATCTTAAAGGCATTATTCGTGCAAAGTTTTAACCGGATACATTGACTGGTTCTTGATTTGTATACTGGAAAGTGAAAGAATGGCATGGGATTTAAAATTGTGTTATATGGGAAGTAGGGGTGGGTTTTGTCTGATTTCACCCATTCGCGCTGTACGGTAGTAATGTCAGGATAATATTACCTACCGAATTTGGTTAAAATCGGTCGATTAGGTCGCGAGATATGGAGTCTCACCTAAATGAGGGCGGTGTCACTGCCCGAATTTGACATCGGCTACTACCATATAATAAATGGCTTTGGAAATTTATGCATTAAACTTACAAGCCCACACTTAAAACATCTTTTCAACCATAGATGCCCCTTGCTAGTGAATTTCGTTGTACCAAATAAGGGATTGAGGCCGCTGAAAACACTTTTCAAGACATATAAAATGTAATAAGTACTTAGTATAAAAGCAATAAAGTCAAAGCAGTCGCAGACGAGGAACGTAGCCGAAAAAAGGTGGGCTTGTTATAAACTAATTTATTATAACAGTTGTAGTCTTTAGGTAAATAATGTTAGGTCTCAATTTGTAAGTTATTTCCTTCGAAATCTTTCCCCAAATCCATCGACCTGTTTCGCAGGATCGGTTTGAAACTCATTGGAACTATTTGACCCTTTGCTAACAAGAGGAAATGCTCGGCTAAGTATTTAAGTAACAACGACGCAGCGGTCTATTATTAGCATTTTAAAGTTAGATCGACAAATCATATGTATATATAGGTTGTTCTTTTGGTGGACTTTGGCAAATTACTATCAAAAGGCTTATACCGATGCAACAATATTCGTTTCCACAAATCTGCAAAGAGGCGTTTTACTAGATCAATGGAGTCGTAAATGAGCACAATTGTTGGAGTGTGAACAATACGAAAGATATTCTCCAAGCTCTCCTCCCTTAAATCTTATATTCAAGCATAATTCGCGAATTTTCGGTTCCTCTCGTATTCCAAGCGTACAATCTTCCAAGCGTCAGGCGTGTCCAACAAGGCGGTATGGAAAACATGCGCGTGAAACCACCATTCTATTCAGACGAAGACGATCTAATGTACAGAACTCTAAAAATGTCTGTATGTAGACAGGGAACATTTAAAAATACATTTATGATATTTGCTCACAAATATTATATGGTATATATATAAGTACATACTTACTTGTAGAAAAAATTATACTATACATTATAATCGTACCAAAAGATTAAGGAAGTAAATGAAAAGGAAAACTTGCGATTACACATTCTGAAGGTTAACAGTATTTCTCTTTCTTAAGCAGTGGCAAAATTTGTACTAGTAGGTGGTCAGAAGTTCTTTTTTGACTTTTTAGACATTATGATAAGCTTTCAATAATAAGTTTCGTTTTTACATAAGAATAAATAGACAAAAAACTATCTGCCAACAGTGAAGAAACCCATTCAGGCCATTGACTCAACTGTTAATCAGCATCGTCTCATTTGGCATAAGTCAAACTTTGATTTAGAAAATCGCCAACATATCACGTATACAATTTCCATAGATCACCATAAATAGCAGAGTAAAGATGTGAATTGTCACATTGTCAGCAAAGAAACTCGTTCAACTTGTTGTTGACTTAAGACGTGCGCCGGCAGCCAACTGTAATTGTTAATTTTGTTTGTGAATTGTTGTTAGAAAATAATAGAAGTCTTCGCGATATTAATTATCAGCATGAAAGTGATTCAGTTTGTCTTCGTTTTGTGTTGTCTTTGTGTGTGCGCAACTTTTGGTGCTCCAAGATTGCAACAGCCAACGAAGTGGCAACCCGTTGCTGTTACAACTGTCGCACCAGCAGTAAAGAATTTCGCAAGAACAGCAAAGAGAAGTCCCCAAACAGATTCACAGTTCAATGAAACGAATTTCGCTTTTCCGCTTTTGCCGAATAACACCGATGTTGTGCATGAATCGGAAAGTGAGCATAGCGGAAAAATTTACGATCATAAGCATCGAATGTTGCTGGCGGTGCAGTCGGATGTGAAAGTGCGTGATGGAGTTAAACAGCAAGAAAGTGAGTGAAACGATAAGTGTGAAAAGTATTCTGAAGTTAATGTTTTGAAAAACATTTTTAAACAATTTTTTTAGAATCGAAAATTTCCGCCACAAGAAACGATGATCCGGAAGCGCGAAAACGTTTTAAGGAGGGATTAAAAGACCTTTTATCGAGTAAGTTACCATACAAAAAAATTTTAGTATATACAAGCTTAGCTTATATCCAAATATATTCGTAGAAACATTTTGACTACAGATCTACCTATCTGATAATTGATATTTCGTACATTAAGAGAGACCAAGGTAGATAAATTTTTAAAAGCCAAAGAAAAATGAAACAAATTAAAAAAGAAAGATAAAAAACGATAGGAAAAATAATTAACTGTTGATCTGAGGTCGGGAAAAGGAAGGGGAGGAGGTGGTTTAATTTGATTAACGATGACAGCAAAATTTAAAATTAAAATTAGTCTTTGCCAATTTTTTCGGTATACCCGATTTTCGTCACAATAAGGCAGTAAACTCCATTGAGCGTCAAGGGGCTGACATTGAAAATACCGTAAATTCCTGTGATGTGATTAATTGACGCTACACCCGATTGTAGTTGATATGGATTCATCAAGTTATTGAGCTCTCTTAAATATTAAAAAAAGTACATACAACAAGTTTTTTTGATGACAAAATAAATTAACTAAAACGTTTTATATTTCTTTATCCATCCAAAGAATCTACGAAGCTTAATTTCTATACACTGTAGAGAGCTTCAAAAATTATGATTTAAGTACTTCTCGTTATAAAATACAGAATTTTTGGGGGCAGTCCATGGGGTATGAGTCTAAGAGAAATTAGTAAGTGAATCGTGTCATAACGACGGCTTATTATTTATAAGCACTTACAAATTTGTTGAGGTCTAACTGTTCCTTAGTTAACTAAGGATTTTAATAGATCAGTGAAACATTTTTTCATCAACAATATTTCGCTTTGGGTTTCATGGTCGGACTGTCGGATTAGGTCCCTGGGCTAAATTATTATTTATTATTCTTCCACCAAAAAATGAAAACGTCAAAAATGATTGAGTTCATTAAAGTTACTTAGCAGTATACTATTATTCGTGGTACAAAATAAATTTGTTTACTATTACAGAGCTCCACCCAACGCTACCGGTCTCTGCCTCCGGTATAGAGTCTGAGTCCGGATTAGATCGAACCAATGAAAACGTTAATGGCGGACTAAAAACTCAGCAGTCTAAAAATCGTCAACGTTCTTCAGCAAGTCTCAAGACACTTGATTGTGAAGACATTCCACACAGTGAAGCGTTATTGAATTCGGCAATTTTGAAGGAATTGGCAGACGCACAAAGTCTAACAAAACCTGATGTCATGTCAGCTGTCAGTATTGAAGGTTTATCAGATTTGAGGAGAAAATTGCTGAAGTCACGCCGTAATCGAATGAAAATGCTGCCGCCCTTTCGCAGATATCCTCATTTCTCTTGGCCACCGCATTCGCCTGCTTATAACAGTTTCAACTTGCAACATCCTTATAACTGTGATTGTAATTATTTCATAAATCCTGTAAATGATATTGGTGTACCAACTATCGAATACATATGGGAAGATTATGATGATATCGGTGAAAATGGCGCTGATGTTGTAGAAGCGGTTAAGAAAGTGGTGAAATGAAGAGGGTTGAAAAAAATTATACTGGATTATATAAATTATAAAGTAATTATCGAATTATTCATAAAAAATTAAGAAATAGTTTAAATAAGCAATGCATTTTTTTATTCCAATAAATTTAAAATTTATCTACGTAATTAATATTATATTTTATCATCGATGTTTAGATAATTTGAAGTACGTGCTTCTGTTAAGTAAGTGTTTCGAGTACGCAGAGTTGCAACTGTTGCCAAAAGTAATTCTTTTTCCGATTTTGTTTAAATTACTTTTACTTTTCATAGATGAATGAATCCGAGTGATCTAATAAACCTTTTACAACAAGAAAAAACGTTAACTTCGGTTGCGCCGAAGCTATAATACCCTTCACAAATACAAAGGCCCCTTACAAGAACTTGATTCCGAACGTTCAATTTGTATGGCTGCTATATGATATAGTGATCTGATCTGACCAATTGCTGTGGAGAATAATTTGTTGCAAGCAATAACTTGTGCCTAATAGTGAAGATACCTCGTCAAAACAAAAATTTTCCATGCAAGCACTTTACTCCGATCGTTAAGTTAATATGACAGCTATATGCTATAGTCATCCGATCTATACAATTTCTTCGGAGATTAGATTAATGCTTCAAATAATAATACATGCCAAATTTCGTGAAGATACCTCGTCAAATGAAAGAGTTTTCCATACAAGCACTTCATTCCGATTGTTCAGTTTGTATGGCAGCTATATGCTGCTGAGCTATCTAAGTCGGTTTATTTTAGATCAATTTTTATATTTTCGATATGACGTTTTAAATGACATCTTTGTTCAATAATTCATAGCAGTGATTTTTCTGTAAGTTAAGTAAGAATTTTCGGACATTATTTTTCTCTGATAGCTTTTTAACTTATTTTCAATCTGCAAAGAATAGAAAATATATTTCTAAGTTTATTTAAGTTGAATAGTGTTTCTAGGAAGCACGAGTTGAAGTTGAATAGACAACCTGCTTGCAAACTATTGGAACTGCAACTATTTATTTTGGAATTTACCTTGTGTTACTATTCTCCCCAGAAAAAGTAGTGTTTTTTGTCTGCAATAAGATAGCAATCTGATCCAATTATAATTTCCTGTATACATACACACGTCTCAAACACTGGCAGCAACCTTTCCGTCATTAAAAACATGCTGTATTTGGTTCAAGGCTACTTAGTCTGGAAACAACCAAGTAACTTAATGTGTCTGCTAGTGCTAGATGCTGAAACACAAGCCCCCTATTAAAAGTCGATCCTTTTTGGTATATTGTCGAAAGATTCATCACGGAGTCCAGGAGGTCAACAGTTTTGTCGATACTAAAACATGCTGTTGCATCACGAATAACGATTTTCACATCGCGACGAAAGTAGCGGTCATATCAAAATGGTTTTGAATGGTTGGTATTTTTGCTTTAGCTTTATGTACGCTTTGATAACGTTATGGGATCGATTGTTTAAGTCTTAGGACAGTTCCAAAACCCTTAAGTATTACAACACAAGTTTTCTTATGTCAGAAACTCGCTCTCGCTGAAGACACTTAAAACAAGTAAAAACGCTGCGCCTATATTACCCTTCATAAATGCATTTCATATAACACAAAAGGGTATAAAACAAAAACAAATTGTTAACTTAAGCCAGTATACCCTTCAAAAATAAGAAGGTTTCAATACAAGAACTTAATTTTGATCGTTCAGTTTGTATGTAGATACTTTATAGAGTCTCCGGTGTTTCCTTCTTGTTCAGGGTATACAAATTAATTTATGTTTAAGATTAAAACATTCCCATAAACAAGTAGATCTAGAAGTTTGCGTAGGAATAATTGTTGTGGAAGGTGTATTTTAGCATGATAATCTGTTGCACGGTAAAGTCACGAACGAATATATTTTACTATCATGTTACGTGAGACCAATTTATGTAATCAATTTGTCTATTTCTAGCAGAGTGTCGATGCATTGCACTTATATTATATCAACAGAGCACAATCTAAGAAACAAAAACAAATCACAACCAAACATACTAAAATATTAATAATGGAAAGCATAAGTAATTCAGCAGCGTATAAAAAATTCAATCACAACGCAGCACTCAGAAGCGCACAAACATATAAAGTTAGGCATATTTATAGTAGGTCAATATTTACCTAAACACATACACACTCACATTCACATCTACACATGTACATATGTAGTTATGCACACATCAACACCCAAGCCAATCACTTCGAAAATGTGTTACGGAAATCACCTGTTAGGCGGAAATCAAATCAATTTACTTACTTGATAAAATAAACATAACCGATTCCGTGAGCCATTCAATATTAGAAAGCGTCAGTGAATATATGTGAGCTTGTGTATGTATGTGCGCCCATTGGTGTGGCTTTGTGCGAGTGCGTGCGGCCGCTAAAGCACTTGCGTTGCGAGGCGATAAGCTAGAAACGCCCTTTGATTTTGCTGCCCATTCCAGCACACACGCGCATATTCGATGTCTTATGCATGTGTGTATATATGTGTGTGTGCCTTTAGAATTTTGTATTGCGGCTAATAGCGCAGTCATGTAGTCATTTTCCAATTCGAAAGGATACTAAAACTGAAGTAATTCGATATCAGGTCACGCCACTAGCAAATATAACTGTGGTTGTTCCGCACACTTGCACTTACACACACACACGTATGCTCACCAGTGTTTCGCCTACTTCTTGTTGGCTTTAAATTGGTGTGATGGCAGGCGTGTTGCTGTACCCAGGCGGGTTATAAATATTGCCGACACAACTCGGCCGATGCGGAGCTAAACCGCAAGCAAGTCACTTGCCCAGACGCTTGCACGTTTGTTAGTGCGTATGTGTGTGTGCGAGAATTCACACGCACAGTTAAATTCCCATACTCAACCGCACTCAGCGGTGCGTGTGTGTGTGGCATTTACCACGCTTTAAAGCAGTTGAAAACTTTGAAAAGCAGTTACTTTTTAATTCCGCACAACACTCGGCGCTACATGCTCATTGAAGTGCCTGGCTGGCTACTGCATTTCTACATACAACGCACACACATATCCTTGCTAAAAGTAGATCAAGTAGTAGTTTGTAGTGTTTTCCAATATTCCCACATAAATTTACATCGGGGTGGTTCTTAAAAAGTCAAATGAGGAAGATATGGATATCCAGAATATCAAATAAGCGTTCCATTCAAATTTCTACGTGTGACTTTTTCAAGTTTGTAAACAAATAGCAGTCTCACAGGGGAAAATCTGAAGGATACGATAGATCAAGCAGCAGCTCTTAGTCTAATTAGTAGAAATTTAGTAGAATTGGAGACCGAAGAGTGACTGGAAGGGTCTCCATGGTGAAAGGGTAATTTTATCTTAGTCTTTTTGTAATACTTTTTAATCGTCTCCGATAGGACCAACTTTGGTAGGCGTCTTGATTAGTATGACTGCATGATTTGAGGTTTGGAAAACTAAAATTTAAATATTCTTCCGACATTTAAGGGCCTCCCTAATATATATATATACACACTCGCATACAAATACGCCACTTGTTCGCTCGATTTCCTCAATCGAAACACTTTGCTCTTACCGCATGTTGGTCTAATGCTTTCGCCGTTGCCCTTTGAGGCGGCAACAGCAGGCGCTAATCTGAGAACAGCATGCTTCTTCATACGCATACATAAGTTAGTTTGTGTGTGTGTGTGGCAGTCATGATTCCGTGTTGGTCAAAAGTCAAGTGAAGCATGAATGTGTGGTAAAATGTTAAATTGCTAAATCACACATTGCTTTTGGTTTTTATATTTGTTATATATTTTTTTTTGCTGCTGCATGATGTATAAATTAAGTGGCGGAAATTAAATTGTCTCTTTTTGAGGTTAGAGCAAGTTTTTTCAGAAACTGCATGTCACCTCAAGTGAATTATACCAACAATTTAAAGTAATCTGAGTGTGTGTGGGCCTAAAAGTTTCAGAATACTTATATTTACTTATTTATCTTGGGTGGTTAAATTTTTTTCTTTTCAGAGAAAAGTCATTCAATAATCATTGACATCTTATTTGAGTAATGGTCCAGCGGCTCTTCAGATTGTGTATTGTTACAACTTTGTCGTATACACTTAGGTTTCTGCAACTTCTAGAATCTTATAATCGTTGAAAATGAATTTAAGCCTTGCAATAATTTGCCGACATCCGGGTCAGGGATCCCCATGTCGTGAAGTTTAACAAACGAGAGAAGTGAAACTGCGATATGAAGCGGGGATTTGGTAAAAAGTCTTTATATCCCAACTAAAGAATCTATGAGGGGTTACAGGAACAGATACTTTTCTTTAAGGCTCAGCCAGAACTGGTATGTTACCATTGAATTTCAGTTATGTTTCGAAGAGTTTATGATTAATATAAATGTTTACTGCTCCTTTTGAAATTAGAAAGACGCTCAGCAAACCAATCGTGCAGAATTCTGTAGTATTTCTTTTAAACATGGGTATCACTAAAAACAAGTAAAGTCTTGTTAAAAGCCGTTTTATCGTTAATAAACATCAATTTCAATGTCTGAATCGTTTAAGATTACATACTCAATGAGTATTTTCCCCCGAACCTTTGTTCTTATATTTTTCGGGCACAACGTGAACCCTGTAGTCTGTATTTCCTTTATCCCTAGTTATATCAACGTTATTTCTTTTCTCGTCTGAAATGTATCTAGCCAATTGTTTAGAGTTAGGAATATGAGGTAATTCCGAAAGATTAACATCAGACCAGTGATTTTTCTGCCGCTCAGTCTTATACAGAATCTTTCCAGCAATATTAGTTATTCAATTTCATTGCCATTTAATACTCTGCAAACTGCACATACATTACACGCGTTTTCGAGTAACATCTTCAAAGACTACCCTAAGGAAATACCGAAGCAACAGCTTGTAAGTTAAGCGAATGAAATTAGGCGGAAACCGATTGTCACATTTGTGCTAAAATACTCGTTTATCTTTAGAAATCCAACATAGATCTTCATCATGTGGATTGGCAAGACTGGTAATACGACACGTACGAGGCACATAGAGAAGATGGGCAATAAATTGTTGAGTGTTAATTTGTCACACGACTATAGTTTAACA